CATGCTAGACAGGATCTGAAGAATTCTCTCCCATCCTTCAATGTTTTAAGTGTTCCCAAGCAGTCCCCACCCCACAGTTCTTCCAGGCGACGATCACTCATCCTCTCTTTTCCCAGATCCCAGGTGTTCCATTGTTCCCCCCCCCTTTTCCCTCACTGCTGGCAAAAGGGAGACTTCAGAGAGCGAGTAGATGAAAGGCGATGGTCAAAAGGGAGACTTCAGAGAGCGAGTAGATGAAAGGCGATGGTCAGTCCTCTTGATGAGAATCAACATCCAGTCCTTTTGTAGTTTAATGAAGAAAGTGAGAGCCATAAAACCCCCCTGCTCATCCCCCTCCCCCTTTGTAGTATGACAGAATCCAGAGAGAGAGCAGAAATGGGTTTTTTTCAGAGTAGGTAGCTAGAAATGAAATATAATTAGATTCTGACAAATGCCTTAGAAACAACTCTGTGAATGTCCTAAAGTGGCCCAACCAGAGCCTTGTCTTGAACCCTATAAACATCTATGGAGACACCTGAACATGGCTGTCCATCGACGGTTGCAATCCAACCTGATTGAGCTTGAGAGGATTTGCAAAGAAAAATGGCAGAAAATCCCCCAGTCCAGGTGTGCAAAGCTTGTTAGGTCATACCCAAAAAGACTCGAGGCTGTAATTGCTGCCAAAGGTGCTTCAACAAAGTATCCAATGAATGGTCTGAATATTTATGCCAATGTGAGATTTCATTTTCTCTTTTTAATAAATTTACAGACATTTCTAAAATTTTAGAATTTTAATTAAATTTAAATTCTAATATTTTAAAATTCTAAAATTTACTTTGTCATTATGATGTAGATTAATGGGAAAAATGAATTTCAACAACTATAGAATCAGGTTGCAGCATAACAAAATTGAGAAAAGTGAAGGCGGTCTGAATACCTTCTCAATGCACTGAATATACAGTTCATGGCTTGAACACGCTTGCTACTTCTGGCCCTGGACACTCCACCGTTTTGCTTGGTTTTTTTTTTTACAATTAGGAGGTGTCAAAACTGATTTTCTATATGTGGTATGGTATGGTATGGCAACAATTCATATCCAATGTGAAGTATTAACAGAGCAAGCGATTGTTCTTGTATTCTATGAGGGTAATATTCATGTCCTTAATTATTGTGCAGACAATGCATTATCCTCAATTTTAATTAGCCCCTGCACTTAATTGTAATAATCCAGTAGATTGATAAAAATATTCTTGTTCTTTAAAGAAAATGCAGTTGGAACTATTCACAAATAATTTCTTATATGGCCAAGAACCTAGCTGTCCCTCTTGAAATGGAATAAATCATTTGTGTGAGCCTCATACAGGCTTCCAGAGTCCTAGCCAATGACTTCATTCACCACATGAGAGTTCCTGAGAAGAGTTGTATTTTCTTCAGCAAGAAATTTTCTATTGTACTGAACATGGAAGTTAACTTTGAGCCAAACCTGAAGAAGCAGCAAAGACAATTTTTCCCCAGATACTGCACATAAAAAAGTATGTTCAACTGTACTGCTACTGACATTGGTAGTGGGGCAAAAAAGTATTTAGTCAGCCACCAATTGTGCAAGTTCTCCCACTTAAAAAGATGAGAGAGGCCTGTAATTGTCATTATAGGTAGACCTAAACTATGAGAGACAAAATGAGAAAACAAATCCAGACAATCACATTGTCTGATTTGGAAAGAATTTATTTGCAAATTATGGTGGAAAATAAGTATTTGGTCAATATCAAAAGTTCATCTCAATACTTTGTTATATATCTTTTGTTGGCAATGACAAAGGTTAAACTTTTTCTGTAAGTCTTCACAAGGTTGGCACACACTGTTGCTGGTATGTTGGCGCATTCCTCCATGCAGATCTCCTCTAGAGCAGTGATGTTTTGGGGCTGTCACTGGGCAACACGGACTTTCAACTCCCTCCAAAGGTTTTCTGTGGGGTTGAGATCTGGAGACTGGCTAGGCCAGGACCTTGAAATGCTTCTTACGAAGCCACTCTTTCGTTGCCTGGGCGGTGTGTTTGGGATCATTGTCAGGCTGAAAGACCCAGCCACGTTTCATCTTCAATGCCCTTGCTGATGGAAGAAGGTTTGCACTCAAAATCTCATGATACATGGCCCCGTTCATTCTTTCCTGTACACGGATCACTCGTCCTGGTCCCTTTGCAGAGAAATAGCCCCAAAGCATGATGTTGCCACCCCCATGCTTCACAGTAGGTATGGTGTTCTTTGGATGCAACTCAGCATTCTCTCTCCTCCAAACACGACGAGTTGTGTTTCTACCAAACAGTTCTACTTTGGTTTCATCTGATCATAGGACATTCTCCCAATCCTCTTCTGGATCATCCAAATGCTCTCTAGCAAACTTCAGACAGGCCCGGACATGTACTGGCTTAAGCAGGGGGACATGTCTGGCACTGCAGAATCTGAGTCCCTGGTGGCATAGTGTGTTACTGATGGTTGCCTTTGTTACATTGGTCCCAGCTCTCTGCAGGTCATTCACTAGGTCCCCCCGTGTGGTTCTGGGATTTTTGCTCACCGTTCTTGTGATCATGTTGACCCCACGGGGTGAGATCTTCCATGGAGCCCCAGATCGAGGGAAATTATCAGTAGTCTTGTATGTCTTTCATTTTCTAATTATTGCTCCCACAGTTGATTTCTTCACACCAAGCTGCTTGCCTATTACAGATTCAGTCTTCCCAGCCTGGTGTAGGTCTGCAATTTTGTTTCTGGTGTCCTTCGACAGCTCTTTGGTCTTCACCATAGTGGAGTTTAGAGTGTGACTGTTTGAGGTTGTGGACAGGTGTCTTTTATACTGATAACAAGTTCAAACAGGTGCCACTAATACAGGTAATGAGTGGTGGACAGAGGAGCCTCTTAAAGAAGAAGTTACAGGTCTGTGAGAGCCAGAAATCTTCCTTGTTTGTAGGTGACCACATACTTATTTTCCACCATAATTTGCAAATAAATTCTTTCCAAATCAGACAATGTGATTGTCTGGATTTGTTTTCTCATTTTGTCTCTCATAGTTGAGGTCTACCTATGATGACAATTGCAGGCCTCTCTCATCTAAATACTTTTTTGGTCCACTGTATATAGTAGAGGTAACAATGACTTTCTGAAAGCCAAATTAGAGCAAATCAAGGACCACCTTCAAGGCTCTTTTTGAGTTATACAGTTCACTGAGACATGCTTACCACAAAATGGAATGAAAGTGGATTGATAGAGGGAAAAAAGAACACACAACAAAGAACCTGATCAGCAACCTGCAAGTTTGCCCAACATCCTTCAGTACTTAGTTCTACGCTTCCTTCTCTGGGCCACGTATTATGTTGACAAATTGGAAGGCTAACTTTCCAGCAAGCTGAACTGGATATGATTTCTACATCTGGCTAAAAAACAAGGTCAGTTCAAATAAAAAAAAATCAGATATTTTTTCATTTAAATTGTACAGTAACTGCTTTGCTCCTGCCAATAATGATATCATCCCAAATACATGCTAGTTATAAAAGTTTTCTAAGGACAAAACAATCCTGAAATTGGGGCTGGGAAGTTTAAGCAGCATAAATGAAAAACTGTTGAGGCAAAGATCAGGAGAAAGATCTTTCCCTTTCCAGACAAACCTTCTACAAAAGCCTTGAAATGGACAATACCACATACAATTGAATTGCTTATAAAAATAAATTATATTTTTTCACTATTATTCTAAAGCTTCGAAGTTTTCAAAATTTATTGCACAATTTTAGCCGAAGTGCTACAATTACCTACAGTTGCCTTTGAAGTTGTAAGATTTTCAGTAAAGTATATACATATAAAGAATAACAATGAAAGAATGCTAAAGATAGAGGGGATAGTACAAAAAAAACCTCTGCATAATAAATGTTGGTGATGTTGCTCATATAATCTTAACTTTCACTGAGGAAACTCTAGTCCAGTGGTTCTCAATCTTTTTAATGCCGCGACCCCATAATACAGTTCCCCATGTTGTGGTGACCCCCAACCACTTATACATCACCAGGTGCCACGGGTGTGGCCAAAGAAAAGGGGAAAAAAATGGCGGACAGCCTTGTTTGGCGACCCCCGTGAAATGGTCGTTCGACCCCAAATGGGGTCCCGACCCACAGGTTGAGAACCACTGCTCTAGTCAATTTTTGGGGTGACACTGGAAATATGAATTTCTTGAATGCCCCCAAAATGTTCTCCCTATTCTTTGAATATGTTACGTTTCTTCTGCAATGCTCAATTCCACTGTTATGTCTTTCACAAATAGTTAAGTTCTAATTTATAAGAAAAGTTTGTTCCTGTCACAGTTCAGCCTGGACATAGCAATAAATCTCTCTGTGGAAATAGAAAAACATGTAACAGAAGGCTCAAGGATGAGACTTAGATAAGTTATTTTTACTGCAGGTGTAAAATAAGCTGTTATTAATGATGAAGAGCAGCTATTGCAGAATCCAGAAATAGAGCCATACTTAAACACTGACTCCAGTGTTTAAACCCTGTGTTACTTTCTCATATCCTTATACAGTAATAGATATTTTGCTGCCAATTTCTCAGTCCTGGATGTTGAGTATCTGTACAGTGTTTTGAAAACAATCGTTTCTTGTCTCAGACTTTATTTCCAACCTTGCTGGATTCAGACCCTGCAATTCCCAGTATTATCATAATCTAAACCAGTGATTTTCAACTGTAATGATCAGGAACAAAACACACTTGAAAAATGAGACAAATATTCTCTATATATCATATAATCAGTATGTAGTAGAAAATTCTGTTGAGTTATCGAGAAGGCTCTCTTGAGATCGGTATCATTTCACTTTCCTACAGATGCAGTTTCCAGTGGATGTTCAGTAAGCAGTCAATGAAATCAATAGAATTTTACCAGCTAACCCCAAGAAACTACCACTGAAGTGAGAATTAAATTATAAGCTCATATTTTGTGCTTATTTTGCAACTATCCCCAAGTATATTCTTCCCTATGAGCCTTACCTTAGCCGATCATAATTTAGCATTACAAAAGCAAACAACACCATCACGCAGAATGCTCTTCTTTTTGGAGGGGAGCCTTTGAGATTCTGATTCTAGACAGGAAAGGAAAAAGTAAAGGAAAAAAAAATAATCAACTTGCTTCACTTTCAACATTAAAAGGGCCATAAAGGGGTAGCAGCCTAATACTAGCTATTATTGCTCATTTTTCTCATGATTTTGCCACTATTGCAAGTGTCATTTGTGATCGCAATGAACAGTAAAAATTATATGCCTATATGATCTTATAGGGACAGTATGATAGAAAATGTACACGTCCTGATCAATGTTCTATAGATTGCTGAATCAGGTATATGTATTGGATGACAAGGGTAGCCAGAATTGCTCAAATTACTTTATTCATGAATATTAAGATCTATAGGTAATTCCTGTTTAGTAACTGATTCATTTAGTGACTGCTTGCAGTTACGCTGGTGATACCAGTCCTCGCATTTATAATCCTTGCAAGTCTGTAAAGCAAAGGAAAGTTGAAATACAATGATGAAATTGCGATGTTTCACTTAGCAATTGCTTCACTTAATGACCAAGTTGCTGGTACCAAGGGGTTGCTAAATGAGCTAATTAACTTAGCTTGCCCACTTTTAATTCAGTTCTCATGAATTATGCTATAGGAAAACTCTGGAAAGATGCAAAGAGATGTTGCTGATTGTTCCCACTTCTCATGAATGTGTGTGCCTAAGCCTTGGCAGCATTTACCATGATGAGCAACTTTCTTGAGGAAGGTGATTGGCTTGCAGTTCTGAAGGAAACAGATTATCTGGCCATTTTCAGTCTGACATATACAGTAGTACTAAGATACTATTAGTCTCATTTGTTGATGATCACAGACTTGGAATAAGGGAAGGGCATCCATCCTGACCCTTCTTGAACACTTACCAATCTTTCATAGCATCAATCATGGTACCCTTTTGGACAAGTAAGGGTTAAGACAGTGTTGTGATGGTATTCCTCCTTCCTCCAAGGGAGAAAGGTCTAGTTCTAGACACTTGCTCTGCGGGGTATCTCATGGGTCTATTCTAACCATTCTAAATAAATAGCAAGTCCAAGAGGCTATTTATTTTGGATCTCTTCAGAACCTGAATCTAGAAATTTTCCACTGTTTTTTTCTGGAAGAGACGGTACTCACAGGATCAGTGTGCAATTTGGGCATTTCCTGGACTCATGGCTCCTGCTTGAAGAACAGGCAGCAGTCATGGCCAGCAGGGCCTTTGCACGATTCTGTCTTTTGTGCCAACTGCATCTCTTACTGGATTGGGAGGTCTCATTTATGCTCACTCATACCTTAGTTCCATCCTGGTTGGACAAATACAGTGAGGACAACATGGGGCTGCCTTTAAAGGCCATCAAGGAACTGAAATTAGTCCAGGATGCAGTGACATTGGTAATCCACATAACATTATTGCACAACCTGCAGTAACTCCCAACAGACTTCCAAATGCAATGCAAGGTACTCATTATCATCTATAAAGCCATGCATGACTCATGCTCAGATTATCTGTGGGGTTGTTTCTATTTCTGCCATAGTTGGAAGAGCGTGTTCTAAATCCCTTTCCTGAGGAAATATCACCTGATGGGAAGTATTCCTTTCCTTGGCAGTAATAGTAATAGTAGTAAAGTTGGAAGGGACCTTGGAGGTCATCTAGTCCAACCTCCTGCTCAGGCAGGAAACCCTACACCATTTCAGACAAATGGCTGTCCAGTCTCTTCTTAAAAACTTCCAGTGTTGGAGCATTTACTGCTTCTGGAGGCAGGCTGTTCCACTGATTAATTGTTCTCACTGTCAGGAAGTTTCTCCTTAGTTCTAGGTTGCTTCTCTCCTTGATTAGATTCCACCCATTGCTTGTTGTCCTTCCTTCAGGTGCTTTGGAAAATAGCTTAATTCCCTCTTCTTTATGGCAGCCCCTGAGATATTGGAATACTGCTATCATGTGCCCCCTTGCCCTTCTCTTCGTTAAGCTAGACATACCCAATTCTAGCAACCGTTCCTTAGATGTTTTAGCCTCCAGTCCCCTAATCATCTTTGTTGCTCTTCCCTGTACTCTTTCTAGAGTCTCAACATCTTTTTCACATCGTGGTGACCAAAACTGGATGCAGTATTCCAAGTGTGCCCTTACCAAGGCATTGAAGAGTGGTATTAATACTTCACGTGATCTCGATTCTATCCCTCTGTTAATGCAGCCTAGCACTGTGTTGGCCTTTTTGGCAGCTGCAGCACACTGCTGGCTCATATTTAGGTGATTGTCTACTAGGAATCCGAGGTCCCTCTCACAGTTACTACTATTGAGCATGGTGCCACCTATGTAATGATCTTTTCTACCCAGATTTGGATGGCCACCATCCTATTAGTCTTCTAAAAAGCTTCAAAGTCCTAGTTTTTCTGCAAGAATTAGGCCAGGTCAATAGACAATCCATCTTCTGGGAGACAGGTCGTATGTCTGGTTGACCTGGCCATATATTGTTTGATATATTGTCTGTGGAATTTGTTCCATTTGATTTTGTATGGTCTTTTCAATCTACGATATCATATTTTCAATGTTTGGCAACACTTAGTTCCACAGAAAGCAATTTTCCATAATTACTGTGCTTACCTCCACTCCCAGTTCATCTAGCTGTCTCTTCAGTGAGCCATTCTCTCTTTTAAGATGATCATTTTCTAACAAAGCAGTCTTCAGTCTAGCTTCTAAACTCTGCATATATTCCTTTTTCTTCCTCCGTGACTGACAAGCTGATTCCCGGTTTTTTATCATGCGTTGCTGCCGTTTTAGAACATTCATCTGGAAATAACACATATGATAAAAAAAACTGTTCAAAGCTCAGAAAATTTGCAAAGGAACAGAGCCAACACAGGGCAACTGACAACACTACAGGCTTTTCTTTAAAAGGGGGGGGGGAGAGGGGAAGGATGTAATTATACTGCACAAAAATAAGCATTCCTAAGAATTCTAGAAGATCCCATTTTTCTTGTTACTTGAATTGATATAATTTTTTCTAAATCTGATATTCTATAGTCAGGGTGTCCTCAGTTTATGACCACAATTGCAACCAGAATGTCCACTGAGAAGTAAAGCAATAATTAAGCGAGTTGCATCCAATTGTATGACCTTTTTTGCTAAGCTAATCACCATGATCATTAAGTGAATCACAAGCTGTTAAGTAAAAAAGTGACTTCTCCCATTGATTTTGCTTGTCAGAAGCCAGCTGGGAAGATAGCAAATGGCAATCATGTGACACCAGGATGCTAAAACTATTGCAAATACATGCTGGTTGCGAAGCTCCTGAATTTTGACCACATGACCATAGAGATGCTGTGACAGTCTTAAGTGCGAAGACCAGTTGTAAATCACTTTTTAAAGTGATGTCATAACTTCAAATAGTAAATGAATGGTCATAAGCTGAGGACTACTTGTAAAGAGTATTTTACTCTTTCCATATACTTACAGATTTAAGATTACATTACAAACTTACAATCTTGTCTCGTCAAGTAATTAAATATCTTTAAAATTATTTTCGAACTATTTTTCATATCCATATGACATTGCACAATAGCACCAGGAGAAATTAGATTTTTATTATTGGACCAGTGTTAATAAATACCTAAAAGGAGCCAACACCTCACACTAATAAAATTCAGCTCCAATTATTTCAGTATTTCCCCATTCTGAGTAATGAAATGGTGGTAGCGATGCCAGAATAATCCCTGCATCTCCCAGAAATGGACAGATTAAAGGATAAGGCTTGATAAGTAGCTCACTGCCTCATTGAGTTCACTTAATAAACCTATTTATTCTATCATCTCTTCCTCTTCTACACAGCTGCTAAAAGCTCCCCTTCCAGCCACATAGTAGATCAAATGCAATTTGTTTGCTTCACGCATGGATTAGTTGAGAAAGCTTTTTGGTCTCTACACTGATGATGTATTGAAGTGAGTTTTTACCCAGTTTAACAGGAATAATTTGCATTCATTTTGCTTGTATTTATAATGTGTTAGGCAGAGTGTTGATTTAGCTGTTGGGGGAGGATAAAGCAGAGATTATACTCATTTCACCCTCACTGACCCAATGCTCACCAGATGGTGTGACAAGGCATTTCATTAGCACTCCATCTGACACTGAAAAAAATGCCAAGCTGCAAAGGAGAGCTGATCAGTACTTTAATTTCTGTTAAAGTAGCAAACTGGTATCTGATTCCTTCAGACTATATGATTTAATATTCCCTGTACAATAACAAAAATAAAGGTTTTCCAACACACAAAACCAATGTGACAAGAATTCTAGCCCATTGCAGTCCTGTTTGGCAGCTTTCACATGTAGTTTCCTCCCCTAAGGGAGTCAGGATGGTACAACGGTTGTTGGACTTGGATTGGGGATGCAAATGAATTAACAGTAGTGTGAAGTAAAACAAACATGAACACAATTCTATCACATTATTTTTCAATTTTTGCCAAACACTCTGACAATATTAAACGGGAGGGCAGATGTCCAATTAACTTTATGACTTTGTACTGCATTACTCAACTGTTATTGAGGGTGGTGCGATAGCTCAGCAGTTAAGACGCTGGACTTGTCAGCTAGAAAGCCAGCAGCCCAGGTTGGAGACCCAAACGCCATGCAATGGGGTAAGCTCCCGTCGTCGCCCTAACTCCTGCCAATCTAGCAGTTCCAAAACATGCAAATGCAAGTAGATGAATAGGTACTACTTTTGTGGGAAGGTAACAGAGCTCTGTGATACTGTATCATGCTGGCCACATGACCATGCAAATGTCTTCAGACAGCATTGATTCAATGGCCTTGAAATGAAGATGAGGACCATCCCCTATAGTCAGCAATGATTAGCAGAATAAAATCTGCAGGGACTCCTTTACCTTTTACTCAATTGATAGTTCACAAAAATTAATAGAGATACATTGCCAACTACTCCTGCCCTTAAACAGCAGGAAAGAGACTCAAGGCTGTGATTCTGGAGCTGTTTCCCATGATGAAGATGAGCAGACAGAGCAAGACTCATTCAGACAGAGCAAGACTCAAGAAGAAATATAATAATTTCTCTGTCCCACAATCCAGTAACTTCACTATGGCCCAGAAACAAATGTCCTGCAATGCTTTATGTACACAGAACTCCAGATTTTTTTTTTAAATGAGTGATCTGCTTTTATTCTAATGTAATATCAAACAAAGGCATGGTAAAGGGACACACAACAACCAGTCAATTGGGTGTAGGCTCTGGGTTCCAAAGGCTGTTACCCCAAAAGCCATACCATAATTTCTCCTGTCTGAATAGTCAGCCACATGTAAGTATGTGGGTGCACACAAACACTCTCAGAGTCTAAGCCTGGAACTATCTCCACCACCAGAAATAAAAAGGGCCAAGAAGCACCAATTGAAATGTCACCACTTGTATTTTCATGCCTTTAGCAGGTACTACTTATTTTCCAATCTTCTCTTTAGTAAGAAAATCTAGAAGATTGCTAGTTTATAGAAAAGTTTAAATTGTTGGGAGCTGAAATTCCACTGTGGACATTGCATGTTGTCAATTATGTCACTAGTGGCGTGTGGGTAAAACATTTTTGCGACCCCAAGCTTTCCAGGTGGAAGGGCTAATTACAAACAGAAGCTGGAAAGAACTTACATCCATGTTTGTATTTGAGGAAGTGGCGTGAAGGACAGTGATAGGTTCTGCTAGGTTCCCACTGGTCAAACTTTTTCCTGCAGTTTGTGGTAATACCCTAATGGTGTGACCTGTTAATGGTTTTACTCCACCATTAACAGCAATGGCTGGATTTGAGGCAGGAAGGATTCCAGATGTCTGAAGATGAACCACAGCAGGCTGAGAAATCATTAGTGGCTGACCTAAAACAGAAACAAAAAGTTTTGGTATACTGATTTAGCACTTACCAAAAATGTTAAATTCTATGCATGCTATGTTTTGCCTCATGATAGTTGTACAAAGATGAGAAAGTATTGCTTTACTTTATAAAGCTAAACATATATAGGCCTAGAACATTTCTATCCTAGGCATCCAGTAATTTTTGAAGAATTTGGAGGTGTTGCTTTTAGTCCTAAAGGCTTGCACTTGCACACTGAAGATTCCTTCATTTAAATACCATACTCCGCCTAAAGCCTATCATATATCACTTGTTACTTTTGAGGCTGTGATTAAATTTTAAAATGGTTGCTATGTGTGGCATATGAATTGTGGTTAAAAGAGCAGATTAGGGCCACATATATAGTGTCAATCCAAATCACCCACTACCAACAACTCACATACTGCCTACATAAATTATCCACAAATTGTTCATAAGCAACATATCTAGACAGAGGTGCTTATCAACCAACATACTATAAATAAACAAAAATTGAAAATCATAGACATACTGCTTTTGAACATAGCTTATTTATATCATGTAGGTGAGTTTCTCCTCATTTTCCAAAGGAGACAAAATCATGCAGATCACCCAGGAGTGGTTAATGGCCAGCCATTCCACTTTTAATGTACTAATGTTAATTCTGATATATTTACAACAGAAAGATATAATGAATATAATAAGATATAATGAATCCTCTCATCTTTCCTATAATCTTCTATTATTACTATTATTGGTATCTTATGATTATATTTCTTTGTTGTTTGCATGTTCATTGACAATTTACGCACCGGAGAAAGATTCACTGTGAAAGTAAAAGAAGCTTTAAAGAATTGCATTCGCATCTTCCTATGTTTCAGTAAAATAAAAAAAAAAAATCCTTTCCCAATGTTTTAATTAAAATCCTCAATTTCTTGCTCATACAGGTAGTCCTCGCTTACTCAACATAACTGGGATCCGCCATCGTAAAGTGAAAAATCACATGACCATGCTCACTTTATGATGGCAGTTTGACAGTTCCAGCTGTGGTTGTTACGTAAACCACATATGGATCATTAAAGCGCAGCATCACCTAAGTGTAACTTGCAAGTTCCTGCCAGCTTCTTCCACTCTGCTTACAGCAGGCTGGCTATAAGGGTTGCAAATGGTGATTATGTGGCCATGGGATGCTGCTATCAATATAAATACCTGCCAATTGCCAAGCGTCCAAATCACAATCACATAACCACTGGGCACTGTGACATCTGCAACTTCAAGAATGTTATACTGTATTATCAATTAGTTGATGTAAGATAGTGAGAAATAGAATATATTCAAATAGATAAGATGTGTATTCTGAATATTAGATTTTGTGATGAATTGTGATAATGGGAACTTTGGTTACTTAAAACTTGAAAATTATAAATACTAAATGTCAAAGTTAAACATTAACGGGAAATTAAAAATTGGGAAAATTAGAATATTGATTGTCTATAAAGATTGAATGTTAAAATAATAATGAGATGTATAAGCCAAAAAGTATTGATAAATTGAATGTCATTTTTATTTAATCGATTTAATAAGAATTATATTAGTTTAGACAGGAGACAGTGAATACTGAGGGGAAAAGAGAGAAAAAATTTGATGTAATAGCTTGAGATTTGTACTGAAGATATTTGTATGTTATTGTATTAATTGGCCCAGCCGCCACGTTGCTTTTTGAATATTTAAATGTAAAATTAGAAAATCAATAAAACATTATTTAAAAAAATGACTACCTGTAATCAGAGGTCAAGAATCCTGCTACTTGGAAATTAAATTACTCTTTTCACTTCAATTTTGCTCCAAAAATCCCTTTTAGACACAGAACTTGATATGTTTGCCACTAGATGCTGACAAAAAACTAACGTAAGTTTAAAAGTTGGACCTATTAAAACTGCACCCATTTAAAGGAATTCTACCTTCAAAATCCTTAGCAATCCTCTCTTAGGAAACTGCAGTGGCTGCATATCACACATTCCACATCACTTGCTGAATCTTGTCAACAGACCTGGCAGGCATCCCATTGCAATCTTAACTCATATACCTTTTGGAGGTGCTGGCTGGATAGTTACAACTGGCTGCTGCTTGGGCAGCGTCAGGAGAGTGGGAAGAGCTGGAATGACAATGGCTTTTGCCTGGAGATTAGGCTGAGTCTCACAAAAGGCACGCAATGGAGGCTTGGGCTGAATTAACGGTTTTGAGGCTGCTGGATTACTTCGATTAATGGTCATCGATGATCCATTTGCTGTAGAAGAGAATGTGCATTTGAAGTAGATTTCTTTTTTTAAAAAGGTTATATTCCTCCTCATGCAATTGTCTGACGTTCAATAGAAATAGTACTGACAACAAGGAGGGCAGGAAGAGGAACTTCATTAAATGAAGGGAACTGTACAACACAACCAGGGATTAAACCTGCCTTTAAAGAATACACACTTTACTTATTCATAATATATGGGCTGGTTCAAACATATCAGCTGGCATCAGACCAAGTAAAGCCTGGCATTTGTACACTCCCTTTTCTTCCTTCAATGCAATAACTGTATTGGCTTTTAAGTTGCTCAAATCCTGGCTTATTCTTAATATAAATTAGAAAAGGTGATCTGGCCATCTTCAAATAAGTGGTACACCATTTATTAAACAGAGTTTGCTTTCAAGCACAGTCTCTAGTTTAAATGGAAAGATAAGCCTAACCAGAGAGGAATAGCGAATTAAGTTCAATTGATTGTGTACTTAGCATAACACTATAGTCTAATCAGCCTAGTGGTTCTATACACTTGAAAATAAATGAATAGCCTTAACTACAGTAACTGTTTCTTATTATGTTTTAGGTGTGGAAATGCTGATATATTATTGCACACCTCCATTTAAAAATCACAAACAAGGAAGACATTATAGAAAGAAAAGTGGCAAAACCTAATTATTCTCAACTAACACTACTTCTACATTATATTTTAATTCACAAAACAGTATGGCAGCACTGTTTAATTCAGCTAATTAAAAGTTTTTAAAAGTGCCAATTTATATGGCTGCAAGTTTCTAAATCCATTTAATGCAATTATTTGTAAAAAATGTGAGCAATAGGGATTATGTCTTTATGATGAAGTATCTTTTCTATAATAATACCACCTATTATATAAGCATACATAATCAAAAAACAAAGCATGATTCTCAGGAACTACTTTGTGCATGTGCAAATGTACTTAGATCTAAGCAAACCAATGAAAACATCTACATGATATTTAACTGAGTGAAAGACAAAATTCTTAGTTATTCTTACTAATTTAGACCACTATTATAATTCCCATATTGGAAAATGGGCAAATAAAAATCATACCTGAACAACGCATAATTTTAGGTGGGGACTTCTCAGTTTGCTCTTTAGGTAATGATGATCTGGAGCTGCGTTTGTCATATAAAGATGCAATGGATAAATGAGAATTAGTGCCAAACTCCACACCTTCCTGGGAATGTTTAAAAAAATTACAAATATTGTAATTTTTCTTGTTACAACAAACAAGCAAAAGACAAATACACACTGGCAGAACTATTTTTCCCAGTTATACTTTAGTTACAATGCATTTAAAACACTTTTGCATAACACAGGGGACCTCAAAAATTCTAAACTAGGCCAAGAAATTATTTGCATTTCAGTCCAAACTCTGCAAATCCTCCAACTACCACAGAAGTTGATAGGGTGGAAACACAGAATAAAGGAGATGTGGAATGATGTTGAGGCCACAAACGTGCAGATCTAACAGATCGTCTCAGTTCTCAGATTTGGCAAATTTATCTTCAGACAGCAAGATCTCACTCACTGACTCTGGCGAGTCTCCTAACCTTGGATTTCAGAACTCTTTGCATCACTCCTTCTGAATGCTGATTGGTTCCCAGATACTTGTAAAGAACCCATGCCAGCAATAAAGGAAAAGTTAACCAGCAATGCAGTTGTTTCTTTGCATCTGGATTAGTTGATGATAATAAAGATTATTTTGAATATTAATCTGGTTAAATATTACCTCATTGCATCTAACTAGCCAAAAGAAATTACTTACAGGTATATGTTGTACTGGAGAGTCCACAGGTAAAGGAGAAGGAACTGAATCTGTTGAAGCAGTTGGTGAGAGAGGTTCTGCTTTGTACTCTATATCTTTAATAGAAAGAATTAAAAGAAAATTAACAGATTCCTCTCAAAAAGGATTGCATCCAAAGATACATTCCACATTCAGTACATTGGAGACTGAAACATAGGGCTTGAATGGTTTGGCTCTAGCCTTCCATTCTGCTTTCCCCTCATAAAGAGGGTACTGGGGATACAGAATTTATTTCTCCTACAGAATCTTTTTACTCTAATTGCAAATTTCACTGTGAATGCACTTGCTGTACAAAACACTGAATTAACAATAAAATGAAAGTAATGAATTCTTTTTTATTTTACATGGGCATTTGGACTGATCTTTCTTGAGAGAGTAGAGTAGAGTAGAGTAGAGTAGAGTAGAACAGAATCCATATTTACAAATAGAATTTGCATCCGTATTTACACAAAGGGAAAAAACAGTCCAACCTATCAAAAACAGTACCGTAAAAAACAGATTAGAAACACAAGTTAAGATAGGCAAGAAAATGGTAAATGAGCACCTGTTCACCCTAGATGAGTTCAAATCACCAGGACCAGATGGATTACACGCCAAGGTTCTGAAGGAACTGGCAGATGTGATCTCAGAACCACTGAACTATATATTTCAAAGATCCTGGAACACTGGGAACTACCAGAGGACTGGAAAAGAGCTGAAGTAGTTCCCATCTTCAAAAAAGGGGGGAAAAATGGATCCAGGAAACTACAGACCTATCAACCTGACCTCAATACCTGGGAAGATCTTGGAAAGATAATCAAGCAACGAATCAGCGAACACCTAGAGGCAAACAAAGTCATTACCAAAAACCAACATGGGTTTGTCAAAAACAGATCATGCCAGACAAATCTTATTGCATTCTTTGACCAGGTGACAAAATTAGTGAACCAGAGGAATGCTGTGGATATAATTTACTTGGACTTCAGTAAGGCATTTGATAAAGTAGACCACAACCTACTACTTGATAACATAGAAAAATGTGGGTTAGACAGCATCACCACCAGATGGATTCGTAGCTGGCTGACCGGCCGTACTCAGCGTGTGGTCTTCAATGGAACAGCATCTACATGGAGGGAGTGTATAGTAGGGTGCCCCAGGGCAATGTTCTGGGCCCAGTGCTCTTCAACATCTTCATCAATGATTTGAATGAGGGGATAGATGGGAAACTCATCAAATTTGCAGACAACACCAAGCTGGCAGGAATAGCCAACATTCCAGAAGATAGATTTAAGATACAGAAGGATCTTGACAGACTTGAACATTGGGCGCTATCTAACAAAATGAAATTCAATGGTGAAAAAAATAAGGTTCTACATTTAGACAAGAAAAACCAAATGTACAGGTATAGTATAGGGAGTACCTTGCTCAATAGTAGCAACTGTGAGAGGGATCTTGGAGTCCTAGTGGACAATCACTTAAATATGAGCCAGCAGTGTGCTACAGCTGCCAAAAAAGCCAACACAGTGCTAGGCTGTATTAATAGAGGGAAAGAATCAAGATCACATGAAATGTTAATACCACTTTACAATGCCTTGGTAAGGCCACACTTGGAATACTGCATCCAGTTTTGGTCACCACGATGTAAAAAAAATGTTGAGACTCTAGAAAGAATACAGAGAAGAGCAACAAAGATGATCAGGAGACTGGAGGCTAAAACATATAAGGAACGGTTGCTGGAATTGGGTATGTCTAGTCTAACCAAGAGAAGGATGAGGGATGACATGATAGCAGTGTTCCAATATCTCAGGGGCTGCCACAAAGAAGAGGGAGTCAAGCTATTCTCCAAAACACCTGAAGACAGGACAAGAAGCAATGGATGGAAACTAACCAAAGAGAGAAGCAACCTAGAACTAAGAAGACATTTTCTGACAGAACAATTAATCAGTGGAACAACCTACCTCCAGAAGCTGTGAATGCTCCAACACTGGAAGTTTTTAAGAGACTGGAACAGCCATTTGTCTGAAAGGGTATAGTGTTTCCTCCCTGAGCAGGGGGTTGGACTAGATGATCTCCAAGGTCCCTTCCAACTTTTTATGTTGTTGTTGTTGTTATTATAGAGTAGAGTAGAGTAGAGTAGAGTAGAGCAGAAGACTTTCGGTTTTGCACAGTAGTACAGCAGCTGAGAGATCAAAGGGCTCCGCTCCCTACGGCTGATTTCTGCCTGCTAGCGGACCCTAAATGGGCCTGAAGTTGCCCCGTAGAGGGGGGAAGTCCCACCGACTGCGGAGAGATGGCGGTCGATCTGATCGGTTTGGGAAAAGTCCTTCAGAAACCGGCAGGAGAAGAGGCTAGCTTCCAAGTCTAGCCCAAGCTACAAGCAACCTTCTAGCCCAAGCTACAAGCAACCGAAATCCGAAAGTACTACTTCAAGCTGACTGTAAACAATGTGTTTGGAACTGGGTAAGAACAGTGATTTTCTCTCTCGTATTTGGAAATTGATTTCTGGGGGGGGGGGGAGAAAAACCACAAGAAGCAAAAAGCCTCTTAAAGTGAGAAGGAGGGGGACTTTTACCCCACCCTCCTGCAGACGAAAGCGGTGAATTAAACTTTTCAGGTGGAATAAAAATATATTGAAATGAAAAGACTATAAGACTTAATTTGGATAAGTTTGAAATCGGTGGAATCTGTTAAGATTTTCCTTTTATATGATGAAAATAGAAGTAAATAATTGTCTATTACTGAAAGAACTGGTGCTGACATCTAGTGGTGGATGAAAATATACAACAACAGCTGCTTTGCTACAGAGACTGGCAAGGCCCAGGAAAAGATAAATTTGATTTTGGTGACCTTCAAAGTCTTAATAACAAAGAACAGCTGTGACCAAAAACAAAAAAAGAGAGAAAGAAAACATCTTGGGCTTTCTACAAAGTGAGAATTATAAACTCTAAAAAAAAAAAAAAGAATTGACCTTTCTGGATTACAAATACTAACTCAACTGTGACTCTAAAGCTGTCTATAGAGAAAGAAAAACTTTAATTTTGGGCTATCATGGAAAACCAGAGATCTGCAGAAAAAACAAACACTTTCCAGAAGGAGATCTATGCTATGTTGCAATTAATTCAAACAACAATAATCTCAAACCACGAGGAAAACATAAATGAACACATCTCCAATTTAACTTTACAACATAAAAATTCTCAGAAAATAAAAATAGAGAGTGAGCAGAAAAAACAGACAATTGACTACGAGACAGAGGAGAGAGATTTCAAGATGGAATTTAACAATACAAGGAAATATGACTTAAGCCAGATGGAAAAAAATTACAAGAAACTCTAGATATGGAAAAGACAAAACTACACTTTAAGATTACAAAATAAGTTTGATTTTTTTCTTGTTATTAATATGTTGAAATAAACTTTTTTTATTATCCTTGATTTCTGTTGCAAGTCTTCGTTCATTCTGAGCCTTTGCTTTCACTAGCTTTTTTGAACAAGCTGACATTTTTCCTCAGCTTGGAGGATTTCAATTTTTTCTAACTCTTTTAAATCTGAAGTTGATTAAACAGTTATACTTCCATAGATAATCAGGAATATTTATTTATTCATTCATTCATTCTCTATAACTGCCCAACTCAACCAAGTAATTCTGAGTGACTTACAGTTTTAAAATGTATGCTTCTCTATAGCTTTTTCATGTCGTAACACAATACCCCAGTCTCTCAGCCTTTCAACCTAAATTTAGTTTCCAATCCCTTCCTTAACCATTCTTATAGCTTGTTTGCTCTTCCTTCCACCACAACAGACACCTTAGGGTGTCCTAAATTGGAAATAGTACTTGAGGTGGGGTCTGAGGAATTCAATATGGAGCAAAATTATTACTTTCCAAGATTTGAAAACAATACTTCTATAAGTATAAACTAAAATTATGTCTGCATTTCTTGCAGACATATCATACTGCTTTATTTGATAAAATACAATTTCAAGGTATTCTTCTACTATAAACAAACTAGCATTTGATTTTTTTCTAAAGGAATTTTTTGCAATTAAATTCTATGCTGTTATTTTAAGTTCATTTTCCTAGTCTGTTGATATTGTTTTGATTAGTTATTTTCTCAATTCTGTATTAACAAAAATAATGAATAGTACAATGTCCAGGAGAGAACTCTGCAACTTCACAAACAACACAGTAGGTCTTGCTAAGTGATGATTTGTTTAGCAACTGTTCGAAGTTATGATGGTGCTGAAAAAAGTTATTTATGACCAGTCCTCAGACTTACAACCAATGCAGCATCCATGCAGTCACATGATCTCAACCTGGGCACTTGGGAAGCAGATTGCACTTGCAACAGTTGCTGTGTCTGGCTTGCACTTATTTCCTAGGTTAACTGCTCTTGATAAGTAGTATATATAATATTACATAATATAATATAATATAATATAATATAATATAAGAATAGAATAGAATAGAATAGAATAGAATAGAATAGAATAGAATAGAATAGAATAGAATCTGGAAGGGACCTTGGAGTCTTCTAGTCCAGCCCCCCACTCAAGCAGGAGAACTTATACCCATGGTGACAAACCTATGGCACACGTGCCACAAATGGCACACAGAGCCCTCTCTGTGGGCACGCGTGCCGTCGCCCCAGTCCTAGGCCTTCAGCTGGTTTCATAAAACCTTTTCACTTTAGGCCTCCGCCGCCGTGCGCAAAAAAAAAAAAGGTTCAATCAATCAATCAATTTCAACTTCTCACAGAGAAAAAAAGAAAAAAAAAAGTTGGAATTGATTGATTGAACTTTTTAGTCCCACTCAGTCTGCCGTTACCACCACAGCCACGCCCACCCGGCACCCAGCGATACATAAGTGGGGTTGGGTTGCAGTTTGGGCACTCGATCTCTAAAAGATTTGCCATCACTGATTATACCATCTCAGACAAGTGATTTCTCTCTCCTGGCTTAAGTTCTCTGAGGAAAAGGATATCTTTTAAAGAGTTATACAATTTTACAACTGCTTACTGTCATAAACAACTAAATCAGAAATTACCTGATGGGGTCTGCTTCATAATATCCCATGTATCTGAATCCCAAGACATCAAGTCTAAATCAAAGTCAAGGTCACCAAGACTGCTTTCCTATAAATGATAGTAAGCAAGGTTATAGGAAGACATGCAACAAAAGAATAGTGGCTAGCTACAAAAGAATTACAGTATTGCTTTCCTTTATCAAATAAGTTCCTTGAAGATAGGTTGAAAATAAAGGATAAAAATGCTAGGCTGCTATCAGGAGATCAATTTTACTACCTTCTCACCTTTGTTTCTTGCCATTATAACTCTGAAACAATTTGCTTTATATATCAAACACAAACTAGCCATGCCTTACAGGACACAACCTAATAGCTACAGAATGTTTACCCAGATAATATTTGACACTGTAATCTTTTATGGCAGTACGTATGTTCTCTTTTATTTTTCAGCAGCATAAGGTATTACAAATGGGAAACTTTGGACCAGCAATATTGCATAAAACACTGCTTTAATAATCCACAGCACTGGTATTTATTATGTCATGGGTACATAAATATTTAAACAGACTCAGTAATTTATTGCTTAAACTACAGAAATGTTTTATTATTTTACTCATTGTCTATTACATATTTGTTAGTACAAGTATAATTCACATATCAATGCTTTTCATGTAGCTTGTCTAAAATTAAAAATTTAAGAACATTAAACTTTCATAAAGCTTTTTAACTTTAAGAACAAGTTTAAGTTTTATAGGGAAGAAATCATCTTAGCCATGACAGCAATATAACACTATTTTACAAATTAATATTTCACTTTCTCCCAATTCCCAATAATCAGATGCCTTAAACAATTCCAAATCCATATTTTAACATGAAAACAATCAACATTTCAGGAATCAAAATCAGTTTTGTCTGACTAGTCACTCTCCAATGAAACACAAACTTAACATCATACATTAGTAATGCAGGATAAAAAGACAGTGAAAGGCTTTTTAAATAGCTAATACAGGTTGTCCTTGACTTATAACAATTAGTTTAATGACCATTCAATAACACTGAAAAAAGTGACTTGCAATCGATCCTCACACTTGCAACCATCACATGGTCTTGTGAACAGAATTTGGATACTTGGCAGCCAGCATGTATTTATGATACTTGTAGCATCCCAGGTTCATATGATTGCCATCTGTAACCTTCCCAGTAGGCTTCCAATAACGTCAGTGAGGGAAACCATTTGCTTAACAACCACATGACTCATTTAATAACTGAGGCAAAAAATGTCACAAAATCAGGTGCAACTCACTTAATGACCATGACACCATGATGCTTAGCAACAGAAGTTCTGGTCCCAACTGTAGTTTTAAGTCAAGGGCTACTTGTACATATAAATACACATAATAAATGAAACATTCAAATTGCAAAAACTAAAATTGCATGTATTGTGAACTGAAAGCAAACTGTTAAAAGTGCAAGTATGAAAGTAGTCATAGGCCAATTTTAGAAATAGTAACTATGTTTTCTGATGTAAATACATTTAATTGGCTCTTCTATAACCTGCGTCCTTTGCTCTGTGCAGCTTGCTAAATAAGAAGAGATTAGACAGCCATTTGTCTGAAATGGTATAGGGCAGTGGTGGAGAACCTATGGCATGCATGCCAGAGGGGGCACTCAAAGCCCTCTTTGTGAGCACATGCGCTTGGTCTTTTTGGCTACATTTTCGCAGGAAAAAGCCATTTCTCAAGTCCCTTCCTAGCCAAAACAAGCCTCCGGAGCGTGCTCGCTCCGAAGACTTGTTTTCGCAGGATTGCTCTTAAGAAGAGTGAGGCGTGTTTGCTCTGGAGGCTTGTTTTTGCTAGGAAGGGGCTTGAGAAATGGCTTTTTCCTGTAAAAACTTGCAGTCTCTGCCAGATCTCCATTGGGATAAAGTCTTTTAGCTCCTATAGATCACTTCCAAATGCAGCCAGTCCCTGTGTTTGTAAGCGCTCCATAGGTGCGGAAACCTTTTTTATCCCAACGGATATCTGGCAGAAGGCTCTGTTTCTCAAGTGCCCCATTCCAGGTATACGGAGCTTGAGGGCCCTGAGGCTTGTTTTCACCAGGAAAAAGCCATTTCCCAGGCCCCTTTCTGGTGAAAATGGAGCCAAAGCATACCTTGCTCTTATTGAGAGCAATCCTGTGAAAACAAGGATGACAAAAGACAACACAGTTCATTCTGAAAATGAAATCCTTAAAGTGTGGAATTCTCTTCCAAATAATTTTAAGTCAATGAAAGTACTTGGGATTGCTTTCCTTACTTTGTTTGGATCATCTTATGCTTGTGAGCAGCTGTTTTCAGCTTTGAATTATATCAAATCTGACACCAGAAATAGACTAACAGATGACCTGAGTGCTGCATGTGTTGCTCTCAAACTTACAAAATATGAGCCAAGGTTAGTTAAATTATCAGCATGCATACAACAGCAAAAATCACATTAATTCTTCAAAAGCATGCCAAATACAAACTTTTACCTTTCAATAAAAAGTTGTTTGTATCACTGAAAGCTTTGTTGTTGTGTTTTTATTTTAAGACAAAAGATGTTAATGTATGAGTTCTTTTTTCTAAACTAAAACCTTAGTATTCAGGTTAAATTGCCGTGTTGGCGCTTTGCGATAAATAAGTGGGTTTTGGGTTGCAGTTTGGGCACTCGGTCTCGAAAAGGTTTGCCATCACCGGTACAGGATCTCCTGCTTGAACAGTGAGTTGAACTAGAAGACTCTGTTATTCTGTTATTTAAATAGATGGATTGTTTTAGATTTCTTGTGTTAAAGCTACAGCAAGTTCCAACTGCTGCTAATCAGAAAAAAATATGTTTTATACTATTCTTGTGATTAGGAAGATCATAAAAGCACCAAGGCTGATAAACTTCACTAGCTGATCTTTCTATCACTTCTCTCCACCTATTAAATATGGCCATTTTCTGTTCTATTTTCTTTTCTGTAGTTGAACAAAATCCTAAATCCCTTGACATAAAGTTCTTTGTAGCATTTTATTGGATTGAAAAGAATAAAAACCAGTATAAAAAAATTAAGGTTAAGAATGCTTTCCTTTTACTCACATAGGTTTCATTCTCTACATCTAGCTGAAGTTCATCTTCTCCTAAGAGATCACCAATTTCACTGAAGAGAAGAGACTCTAGGATTTAAATAAGTACATAGGGTATATAAGTCACACAAAATAATTCAGGCTTTCCTCATTTCCTAGAAATAAGGAACAGACCATTCCACTGGGCAAATTCTGCAGCGATAACAAAGTAGCAGGACATAATTTTATTGTATGTCATTTCAAATTTTCATTCCAGGATTCAGTGTTTAAAATATAGAAATGCACACTTTTCAGGAAACGGACTCTTTGCCAAGTTTATTTACATATTATATATGTAAATGACCTCTTCAGTCATCATGGACTTTAGGTGGTTTACTAAAATAATAAACCTACATTTTAAAGCTTCAATAACAAAGTTGCAACAGTTAATGTCAATTAATACCAAAATATATAGGCATGAATATACACACATTTCTATACCCTACCCATAGCCCAGCCCCCCAAAGGCTTCTGGAAAAAGCAAATTTACAAGCGTCCAGGCCATCCTTACCTCAGGAAGCAAACTGTTCTATAAGGCAGTTGTCAGCAAAACATCCAATGTTAGGTCCCCTCCTGATAGATGAGAACTCTTAATAGATACTCTCTAGCCATCTGGGGTAGATAGCTAGAGGCTACCTGAGAAAGATGATCTCTTAGATACCAAGCACTGAGGGCTTTAAAGGTAGCAACAACCATTATACTGAATTGCATTCACAAACACACTGGCAACCAATTACAACAATAGTGTATCATTACAGTACCAAGACTGGTCAACAAACATGCTTGCTCTTGCATTCTGGACCAGCTGAAGTTTCCAGGTAGTCTTTAAGGACAGCATTAAGGAGATCAAATTACAGAAATCTAATTAGGAACATCCTGTTTCAGATAAGGTCACAAGTGGCATACTAGCCCCAGCTGGGCAATGGCCCTCCTGCTTACATGGTTTCCCAGAGCTATGAATGAAACTATGAACTCAGAGGAGCACAACCCTTTCAAGAATCAAAGATGGTATAATTCTGGAATCAGAATGTTCTTCAATTAAGAGTCACTCTGTCTTGTTTGAGTCAAGTTCCAGCCTGCCTTTCCCCATTCAGTTCCTGAAAATCTCCAGGCCCTGGGACAGGACATCTGCTGCATCTCTCACTGGGCTCAGTTTGCAGATTAGAAGGCATATCATCAGCATCCCAATGGATGATCTCTTCTGGTTCTTTCATATTCAGTAGTGGTTAAAAGTTTCTGAACCCTTTTAAAATTTTCAGTATTTCTGCATAAATATGACCTAAAATGTGATCTGTTTTCCACAAGTCCTAAAGCTAAATAAACAGAACCCAGTTAAACCAATTAGTTAAAAAAAAGCATAGTTCATTTATTGAGGAAATGATCCAAAGCTAGATATCTGTGCATGGCAAAAGTACATGAACTTTTCTTTTAGGAATTGGTGAGCTCTCTTTGGGCAATAAATGCAACTAAACATTTTCAGTAATGTTGACCAGTTCCACACGTCAGCTTGGGGGAATTTTAGCCCATTCCTCCTTCTAGAACAGTTTCAACTCAGGGATGTTGGTGGGCTTCCTTGCATGGACCGCTGTTTCAAGTCTTTCTATAATATTTTTATAGGATTAGGGTCTGGACATTGACTTGATCTATTTTTTGAGTACTACTCTCACTTGGCACTAGAGGAACCAGCAGACTGTTCAGCCATGCTTCCTGCACAGAGCCAGTGCTACAAAAGAGAGTCTTGCTATGTTTATGATCTGAAGCTGAGTTCTCTCCAGTGGTTTTGTATCTTCCAGGAAGTAGCTGTGTTTTGAAGGACAGGGAAAGAAGTAATGGAAAACAGAATGAGGTTTTTCATTTTGCTAAGACTAGGCTTTTAGTAGTTCCAACTGAACCCAGCAGCTCTGCTCACTAGGCAAGATGGTCTAGGACAGACATGTCAAACACAAGGCCCGCGGGCCGAATGCAGCCGGGAAGGGCCCAGATTTGCCCCCTCCGGGGCTGTCCCAGAAATGGCAAGGGACTGCCCCCCGCCCCCCCACTGCCCCAGCTCTGGCCCACCGCAACCCAGCTGGGCGCCTTGGAGCACGTGCAGGAAACAGCAAGCACTCAGGGGCTGGTGGTGTGCAGCAGCAGCTCATTTGCCTTAGCCCGCCCCTCCCAGCTTAACCCCGTCATGCCCGGCCATGCCCCACTTTGCTGGGCTTCTCATGTGGCTCTGTTTTGCCAGGCCAGAAAGGGTGAGAAGGAAGAGAAAGCAGGAAGGGTTTCTGTGTATGTGTCTGTGTGTATGTGTATGTGTATGTGTACGTGTACGTGTATGTGTATGTGAGGGAGAGAGACAGAGACAGAGACAGACAGAGAGAGCCAGGAGTGCAACTTGCAACTTGCATGATTATTTTCATTTGGATACATCCACAGGCCTAAGTAAATAAACTACAGAAGCTCAAAGTCTAGGAATTCTTTTTTTGTTTCTCTGCTAACACATCAAAGTCAAAAACCATAATATATTGATGATATCTAATCCTTAGCATCCTCAGGAAGGAAAAGCTAGAGAAGGATCTGGTTCAAATATCATGGAATGTTTTATCCCTTCCACCACTGACAGGAGCCACACAGAAGATATTTTGTGTGCACCATCACAGAAATTAAACAAAATTATTTGTAATTAAACAAAATTATTAGATTTTTGCACAATCTATAAATGGAGTCATAAGCTACCTGTGGACAATTATAACAGGAGTGCAATACTGGAGGACAGTCAACATTTTTCTCTCATGCCATTTCCCCATCTGAAGCATCTTCTTCCCACCCCCCAAAAAAGGGTAACAAGGCCATCAGCTTTAGAGGCAAGAATGTCATTTGGGCATTCCTGAGCAGCCCATTTCCATTAGAGTTGGCCATTATAATAACCATAATACAAGCATTTGGTGATTTAGGTATTGTATACTCCCCCCCCCCCCAATTTCTCTTTCTCCCCTCGACTGCATTTTTTTAAAGAAAATAATTCTGAAGGCAGAAATTGTCAAGGCTTTTAATGATTCTACAAACTGTTCCAGAAATTTTTCAAGTTGGAGAACAGTGTATAAAGCCATCAATCTAGTTAATAAATATATATATATTTTTAGAAGTCCTTGCTCTTCCTCAATCAGGTTCCAACCTTATTTAATTGAAGTTTCACCGAGTGCTTATACAGAACCTTTTGTTAAAAAAACCAAAGGAAATCCATGAGCCTCTGCCACAAATTTCCTTGATGGCTTTTAACAAGGTTCTTCCTCTCCAGGAATAAACGCCAACCCCTCAACATAGGAATAAAACAACACATAGGTCATAGGAAATACGAGGGGGAGACTCATAAGGGAAAGCTGGCGGCTGAACCTGTGGTGGGAAGATCCCTAGATAAACTTAGCCAAGTGCCTCTCTTAAACGAATCTCTGTTTCATACAGCGATCGTAATAGCAAAATAAGGAAACAGGCCGAAAGAGAGGCGAGGGAATGGGGACTTAAGAAGGGGAAACAACTAGAAACAGAAATGAACAAACCAGCCCCACATGGCAACTCTCACTAAATCTCTTCTACGTGAGGCAATTCCCCCCACCACCCAATTACTGCCGGCGGTGACCAAGTAGCCGCCGAGCTTTTCCCTCCCACGGCTTTACCCCATTCGAGATTAGGGTCTCCGGAGGGCCAGCTGGCGATCGACGCCGTCATCGCTGCCGCCATCTCTGTCTTCCGGGATTGCACACCAAGATCGAAAGTTACGTAAACACGGTACATTCATCCTACTCGCAACCCCCGCCCCTCGACTACAAAGGCCGCGAAGGACCAAAATTGTTGAAACAACGTTAAGCTTCTCCCTATTTTGGTCTCGCTTTCACAATTCCTCTGCGGAAGTTAGCGACAACAGTGAAGCTGGAAGACGTTTCTGTAAATAATGTTGTCTATACAAGCTTTTTTCACGCTTTTGAAAAGACAGGCTAGGAACTTTTTTAAAGAACTTAAATTCAAAGAACTTAAATTTGCAGCCTTGTAGATTTCAAGGCCCAACTGGGCTCCCTGCTTTAAAGTTTTTGTTTTGTTTTGTGTTTGAGTCAGTCATGATTGTAGAATTCTTGGTGCTCTCTGAGCTTGGTTGTTTGCTTGAAGACGTTGCATTATCCAACTAGTTAACATCGTCAGCGCTTAATGATCCCCTGCAGTTTTCTTGGCAAGATTTCAGAAGTGGTTTGCCATCGCTTTAGATACCTTTGTACAATCTCACTTAGAGCTGCTACAGTTGGTTGTGGTGCCTGAGTGCTGTGCTTTTAGCCCCAAATCAAAAATTCTGGAAGCAGAAATGTGGTCTTGGCATTAGATTTTTTTAATATAATATTTTATTGGTTTTCTCATTTTACAATTGAATATTTAAAAAGCAACGTGTTGACTGGGTTAATCAATATTTCAATAGCGTACATAAGTCTTTAGTATAAATCTCATGTTACAACATCAAATATTTCCTCTTTTTCTGTTAATATCTACTATCTCATATTGGGCTAGTACAGTTCTTATTATTATCAACTAAGTAAAAACATCTTTGTTACAGTTATCAATAATTTTTAGCTTATACCTTAATTGCGTTTACGCTTAATCCTTGTATACAATCAATGTCCTGTTGTTGCTTTTTTTCAGGCTTTAATTTCCATCAATATTTAAATTAACATTATTATTTATAATTTCCAAGTATTTTATATTTAGGTGACCAAAGTTTCCCTTATCTCAACTTCTCCCTTTTCCCCCTTTTTTAGCAAAGTCTAATATTCTAGTTACACATCTATTTGATTATACTCTTGCTCTGTTTTCTAAAAGTTATCTATTTTCCACCATGTTAAACCATCTAAGTAATAATACAGTATCTCCTCTATAAGTCAAAACAATTATATGTGTTGTCTGGGTTAACCAATAGTTCAGTATATCTTTATTGTGTTTGCACTTAATATCCTTATATAAACAATGTCCTATTATTGCTTTTTCCCCTCAAACTTTAATTTCCCATCAATATTCAAGAAAACACAAATCTATGATTTCCAAATGCTTTATGTTTAGGTGACCAAAGATTTCCCTTATCTCAATTTCTCCCTTTTTCCCTTTTCGTACTGAAGTCTAATAGTCTAGTTACACATCTTACCTATTCAATTATAATATTACTCTATTTTCTAAAAATTATCTATTTTCCACCATATTCAACCTTCTAGTTAGTAATATGAGATCCCCTCTAATAAATCAAAACCCTTATTTTCTTCAGCCTTACTCTGGCTTTCTTCCTTTGCCAGCTAACCTTCCATGTCAGTGCCTTTGAATCATCATATAGTTCTTCCTCTATTTTTATGTATATTATTTGCAATAAGAAAGACCATTTGGCTGAAGTTTTTTTTAGAAGAACAAGCCCATTGGTATTCATTAAATTGCCTCCCTATTACTCCAATTTCCCACAATTGTCCTGATAGGTTTATCTTCCATTCAGTCTGTTCTTCTTCCTTTTCCTCAAATTTATTCTGATTTCTTAATTTGTAAAAAGTCTTTTCCATTTTCAATGTTGTCACTCCCTTTTCTGATTTTTCAGTTGGCTGGGTCTGTTGGTAAGTTGTCTTAGTGTTTAGTTGTTCCAATTTTCCTTTTGTTTTCTGCATTGTTCACTCTTTGCTTGTAGTCAAAATCTGGGTTTATACATTTAAGCCAGCACCTTGTTCCTTTGTGTTGCTTCTTATTTTCTCACAAGCTGAAAGGATGTTTTTGTGTATTGATTTCAACATGGAAAGGATTTTTTCCTGGTTTTCATCAGTATTCTCTTGCTAGTATGTTAAATTGAAGACTTTAGAATCAAACGTTAAAAATAATTTTTTGTCTTTTGTAGCTGGGTATTGGACATCTATTTCACGTTTTATAGGCGGTCTTTATGGTAGAAGTTCTTTATCAAGTAATAATTTATAATCCAAGGTGTTCCATCATCTCGTGTAATAACAATGCTTCTCATGCAGGGAAAAAAGAAAGCACTTCCCCAAGTAAAGCTCTGAAAATCAGTAAAAGTTTACATTCATAGTTCAAGCAGGCCAGATAAGCTGCCCAGAAATCCCTTCTTTGCAGCTGGGTTTTTCAAAGGTGGTAACTGTCAAGGTCAAACAGATATTATCTGAAGTCTGGGCTTCAAACCAAGTCTCTTTTAGCCAATAACAAATTTGCCACAAAATGTCACCAATGCCATTTTAAGCTTTTTAAGTCCAAAACTTATATGGTGGTTTTTCAAGTCTTATTTTTTTAAAAAATAAAAAAACAAAAGTCTTCAATAAGAAAAAGAACACTTTTAGCCCCCAAGTTTCAAAAGAATATATGTCCAATTAGATTAAAATTATTTTTATAATTGCTTTGTTTCCTCTGGGTAGTTAGTCGCCGCTTTTCTTAGAGGGTGGGGTAAAAATTTCCTTCCCTCCTCACGGGGAAAAGTGCTTTGGGCAGCTTTTACAGGAAAGAAAACTTAGAATCTTAAAGAGAGGATCAGGTCTCACCCAGTTTCATCCACGTTGCTTGAAAGTTGCTTGGTAGTACTTTTCACTTCAGCTGTCAGCAGCTTAGTAACCGGCCACGTTGGTATGGTCGGTCATTCCCCCATTGGTTTGGAGGGCTTCCCCAGATCAAATGGAAGTGCCGCTGTCCTTCCGCAATCAAATAGGGGGGCCCTCCTTGCTTGTCGCCTCTACGTGGTGACTTTCAACCCTTTCCAGTGGAACAAATTCAGACGCAAAAGACGGAGCACATCTTCCTGCGTCTGCGGCACCGCGATGCCAAGCCAGAAGTCATCTTGGCATTAGATTTAACTGCATCAGAAATTATGCAGGTGAAGTGGCCTGATCTTTCACACTTCTAACATATAATGGGGTTGTGGTAACGCACCCTCCAATAGTTTTTACTAGACCCCGCATTACAAGAATAAAGCTCAGATGTCAGAACCCATTCTTTTCCTGGGGGAGGATCTATTTCAGTTCTCTCCATTTCTTTCTGCGGGTTCTGCCATTCCCCTGAGGGGGAGGGGGGAAGGATCTGTGGTATGTTTTTGCTTTGCTACAATGTATCCTTTCCGCTATTTCTACATACTTACTCTTTGAACTATCTCTCCCTTGTTGTCAACCAGAGGTGAGAAAGGAATGTGCCTCTGGCCATCTGGCTTATCTCTCACTGCGGAAGGGAAGATGCGAAGACCCAACAACATTTTCACAAGCATGGGAGTGGACCCTGTTATCAGCTCCGTTCCCACAGCAGACTTAACACCTAGGGATTGGCTCATTTAAACCGACTGGATGAACTATTGGGGTGGGGTTTGCTTAGGACTCTTTTAACCTATTGATCTAAGCGGGAAACCCTCAGATCCTTCCTTCTATGCCTGCTCCTAATAAAAGTTCCTTTTGGAATGAAACTGTTCCAAGAGTCCTGCTTTCTTGGGATGAGGTTTTGAAGTGGGTCCTGACAGCTCAGGAAAAAAAAATACAGAAACGATGTTTCACTCATGAAGCCCCTAACTATCGTGAAAAGCAGAAACATTGAATCAGACCTGTTGATTCACAAAGAGAGCTCAATGGAGGTAATAGACAGACTAAAAGATAAGGGGGTAAAATAAATTACATTTGTTTGACAGGATTAAAACCCAAGGAAGTCAGTATTTTAGACCCATTGCTAGTCTTAGCAAAACAAGCTAAATGAATCTAATAAAAGCACACAAAGCAAGCCTCCAAATTACAAAATGCTGTAAAACTGTATAAAAATCCTTGTAGTCATCAAATCAATTTGTTAGCTGTCCCAGAATTGTATGCTATTGCTGGTTCTACTCATCAATAAACAGGAACCTTCTTTTAAAAGCAGCCTCTATTTTATTCCCAGCTTGGAACTGGACCTGATTTTTTTTTCAACAGGGTCAACAATGATGATGAAAACTGATACAAAATCAATACAGGGAAAATAGTGCTAAGGGAAAAGTGGAGTTGGGTACTGTGTGAATCAAGTCAAGGTCAGTTCCTGCTGGAAAATATGGTGATGATGATGATGATGATGATGTAATTCAGTCCACAGAGAGAAAAAAGAGAAAGTGGTAGAGAAAAAGCACACTCAGGTGTAAAATCTGTAGGGAAAAGACTCCCAAAAGGTGAGGAACAATGATAACTGGCCTGGGGCCAGAATACATGATTTGAAGAACCTGCTGACCTAAGGGGAAATTGCTGCTTTGAGGTGTAGTCTTAGTTAAAATCTCTATATTAATTATTTGCTCTATATTATGGATGTGCTTACTTTAGATATAAACCTTTATAAAAACAAAAGACAATGTATTGATACAGTATGAAAAGAAAATATGGTTTGCAAAAATATAAAAACATAGTGATATGATATTAGTGTAAACTGTATCTAGATTTCTTTTTCTGTGTTGCCTCCAAATTCTTTCCCCCCCCCCTTTTTTTTTGCACTTTGTGTAACATTGCTCACTTCAAAGAGTATAGTGTGATGAATATAAATATATGTAAAAAGACTCATTGTCCTTTTAATTGTGAGTGTGTCCTGTTCTCAGCTGCTGGAGCATGAATTGACTTGACAATGTTAGACATATAAGAAAGGCTGAGAAAATAGAGAAAATCAAGGAAAGTCTAGGCAAGGATTTGCTGGAAATAAAATGCACAGAGTTGTCGTCCAAGCCAGAAGAAACACATATAAATGATAAAATCAGTTATACCGTTTGAGAGAAACTTTTCAGAAGGCTAGATGTCCCTTAGAGGATCTAAATTGGTTCAGATTAA